GCGCCGTTTGGTGCGCGTGGGTCAGTGTGAGAGTGTACCTGTCAAGTCACAGAACTGAGCCTCGTCTATCCAGCTTCTCTGGGATTTAGACGAACATATAGAAGGTGCTCATGAAATTGGGAGATATTGACAGCTAACAGAATAAGGATTTGTGTGTGGTGTCTAAAAACTGGAAATATGGATCTAAAGAATAAGTATAAGCTCTTTTTTATATGAAAAAAATCAATGGTATAAGGGAAGGATGTGAAGAGCCTCAATCTAAAAAAATAAAGACCTAAGGATTTAGGCTCTGTCGCCACCACCGCCATGTCCCTGGCCTGAGCTGCCACTCTTTCTCCCCTGGCTAATTCCAGAAGTCTGCTGCAGGTATCTGCTCCTCGTCTCTCTTCAGCGCAGACTGGACATGACAAGCCAGAGTGATCTTGTTAAAAGATTTGTTCGGTGTTTTGATGAACTCTCAGTAGCACCCCATCTCACCCACACTCTATACCACAGTCCTTAACAGTGGTCTGCAAGGTCCAGCTGGACCTGCTGGCGTCCTCTTTGACCTCTGACCTTTACTCCTACCTGTCTCCCCTCACCCCTGTGTTGCACCCACACGGGCCTCCCAGCCCTTCCTTCCCTGCACCAAACCTCTCACCCTTGCTGCTGGCTCGGCCGGGAGTGCTCTTCCTTGGTATCTGCATGGCTCACTCTCCCGTGCCCTGCAGATCTGTGACAACTCGTGGACTGTCTCGGTTAGACTTTCCCCATCACAGCGTTTAAAGGTATAGTGTCCCTCTCCTCTTCTCTTGGTGTATTTTGCTCCAGAGCACCAATTCCTACAGTCTGTCTCGTACTTTCTTATTTTGTTCCTCTGGCTTTCTTACTAGGCTGAAAGCTCCACAATGGTAGGGAATTTCTGTCTTTCTCCTTCTCTGCTATATGCCCCACACCTAGAGCAGTGTCTGCCACAGAGTAGGTGGGCAATCAGTAAATATTTGTTGGATATATGTTTAAAGCATAAAATAATGAATATGAGATAAGAGCAGGATTCAGCTGATGGAAAAACTAGTGTGTTGTCGGGCCGCATGTAATCATGGGCCTTATGCAGTGTCCCCATTCTACAGAAAGAGATTTACGTCAGGAATTGGCCAGCAAGTACAGCGTCTGCAGAGCTGGTGTTCGGTCTGAGTTCTAAGGCTGTCGGCTGCTGTAGGGCCAGGAAGAGCTGATGTCCCAGTTTCAAGGCTGCCGGGCAGGGGGACTCTCTTACTGTGGGGTTGGCCAGTCTTGTGCCCTGCTGAGGACTTTAGCTGATTGGATGAGGCCCACACACCTTAGTCTAAATGTTTCATTTACTCTACCAATTTAAATGTTAATCTCGTCCAAAAACACCTTCACAGGAATACTCAGAATAGTGTTTGACCAAATATCTGGGCACTCTATGGCCCAGTCACATCAACATGTAAGATTACCCCTCACAGGACATTTGTCAGACCACACCCCAGCCCCAAGTCTTGTCCCTGGTGCCACGTTTGAGACTCTGCTGGCAGGGCTCTGACGTCCATGGTGTCTGGGGAGGACTTGGGGGCAGTCGTAGTGCCCTAAAGAGGTGAAGGCATGTGCAGGGTCAAGTGTCTTCTTCAAACATTTGAAGGCTTGACTAATGGAGGAAAGAGGAAGGAATTCTTTGGTCGAGAAGACACAGCTCAGGCAAGTGGATAGAAGGCAAACCACAGGGACAGAAAGTAAGAACAGATATCTTCCGCCTTGGGAGCCAGCACGGCCTCCTTTCTGGAAGGGTTCGAGCAGAGCCATTCGTGGCCAGAAGCGAAGTCTCCTGGTGCTGATTCTCTGACCTCGGGTGGGCCATTAGGTTCTCTGAGATTGTTCCTCTCTACCATGAAAATCACCTCATAGGTCTTCCTGAGGGTCAGGAGGGAAGAACCACACCTTCTAGAACTCCATGGGGGCTGGGGGAGGCCTTCGTCGGAATCCAGCCTCGTCATAGCCAGGAGAACTGGCGGTCAGCAGGAGTGCTGACTAACCCCTTGCCGAAGCAGAAAATTTCCACTGACCTACAGTCGGGGACATTTCACTGCTCCTGGCAGCCTTACTTTCTTCTTATTGGAATGTGCTTGGGGAGTGGCAGTTCACTCCTTTTCCAGATTCCTCTGCCCTGAATGTATGATCCTTGCTGCTGCTGGCCCAGGAGAAGACAGACTGGAGCAGGGCTGACGGTGCACGGGGAGATCAGCCAGGAGTTGCCCTTCTGGGCTGTACTACGCTATCACTTTCCAGTTACCTCGGGATATGGTCCAGAGTTGCCCCCTCTTCTCTCACTGACACCGTTCACATCCTTGCCTCTGGAATGTTCCAGGCTGACGTATCTCACCTTCTCCTCTGTAGAAATGTACGATGTGTATCACGTATTTAAAATTCCAGAGTTGTGTTTTATGGCTGTACATAAGTGGGGAGAAAAGGAACAGAACATCCAGGGATGCGTGCCTAAACATCCAGGACTGTACTGGCAGTGGGACAAAGGCCTCTGGACTGTTGTGGTTTATTTTGGTGACAGGTTTAATAAAAATGGCTTTTTAACACAAGTGCTTTTCAGTGAAAAGAAGATTTTACTACAGTGCTTAAGTCAGAAAATCAGATAAATATCGTTTGAAGTTGTGTGTTGATGAGTAGCGAGGCCTCAGAGGACTTACGCAGAGGCTGGCATGGTTATTGTTTGGCAGGTAAACAGCTCGGGGTTTTCTTATGCAGGCGATGTCCAAACAAGGCCAAAGCTAAGTGGTGCCCACTAGTTTCGTTTATGACTGGCATTGGGACATTTAGCAAATGCCATTACCACATTCAGTAGCACTTTGTGGTACTTAATACATAATAGGTATTCAATAAATAAGTATTGTTAGTGGTCACAGTTTATAGTCAGGTTATTAATGATTAGTTCTGGGCTTCCCAAGTCAATATAAACAGAAAGGTTCTTTTATTCTGTTGTATTTTTATTTCTATAGAGTTTATTTATTTATTTGAGATTTTATTATTTCTTTTCAGAGAGAGGGGAAGAGAGGGAGAAAGAGAGGGAGAGAAACATCAATGTGTGGTTGCCTCTTGCATTGCCCTACTGGGGACCTGGCCTGCAACCCAGGCATGTGCCCTGACTGGGAATTGAACCAGCCATCTTTATGTTTGTAGGCCAACATTCAATCCATTGAGCCAAACCAGCCAAGCCTCTTTTTCTTTATTAAGTACTAAATGGTCTGACTTATAGCATAAAAGGGCTGTCAGTTTGGGGAGCCAATTTTGGGACCCAGCAGATGTTTGAGTGGTCATAACATTCAGTCAGTCAGAAGTATGGAGCGGGATTTCTCAGTCATAGTACAATGGACATTTTAGATAATTTTTTGTTGTGAAAGCTGCCCTGTGTATTATTGTAAGATGTTTAGCATACCCCAGGTTCCTATGTGCTAACTGCCAGTAGTTGTGACAATCACAAATGTTTGCAGACATTGCCACAAATCCCCTGGCTAAAACAACCTCTGGTTATTAAGAACCACTGGTACAGGGAAAGCTGCAAGGTGCCCCCACCAGGCCTGACCTATAACGGCATTTTTCAAATTATAGATCCCTCAGCACCCATTAAGACAGGGCTTCTCAATCATGGATGAACACTAGAATCACTGGGGAGCTTTGAAATATGCCTGAGTCCCACCCCAAAGATTTCCATTGATCGGGGGTGTGTCCTGGGCTTCAGGATATTTAGAAGCTCTTAGGTGCTTCTAGCTTTTAGCCAAGAGGGAGACCACGGCATTAGTAGGTCATGGAATTAATTTGGCGAAGTACTTATGTGCTAGCATCTGAAAAATATAGTATATATAATTGAATAGAAATTATTAACGCCTAGCACAATACTTAAGTATTACTGTGTGTGTGTGTTAAAGTTGAAAACACTGCTATAAGCAACAAAATCGTAAGCAAAATCCTTGCCCTCAACCTGCTTTTAGTCTGGCTATTTATAACCTCTTTAGAATCTACTTGTTTTATGTTAATGGTAAATAGTTAGTATGACATTTAATCCAAGACATTTATAGTTTTATGACTTGAGAATTTGTAAGTCTTTTTGCTTACATGTTGAGCTTTCACTATGACACTGATAAAGCCGGTTATTTTGTAAATGCTACCCAGTAAAGATGACACACATGTTTTCACTAAATGTGATTATAATACAGTAACAAGATGATAATTTTACTCCTCTGTATGAGTTAAGTATGTAAACCATCATTTGCTAGGTCAGCAATGGTCTAAATACATTCAGCAAGAGTGTGGGGCTTGCAAGAAACATCCTGAAGTTTTATTAGGCTGAGTCCAACAGCCTCTTGACTTCATTATCTGTGGGAACTTGGGGGGGTCTTAAGAAATAGAATGTTCTATACATTCCCCTCATGGCTGGGAAGTAGTGTAATGTGGTAGAAGCCTGGCAGTCTCTGGCCATTTGTTTTTACCTCTGCTCAGGAGAACGTAAACCTAAGAGACTCTCGGTGTCCCTGACTGGTGGTACTGCAGCCCTGGAAGACCTGGAAGGCAGACTCACTTGCTAGCAGGACTTTGGGATTGCTTGCTCTGATCCTGGGTCCCTGACAGCACTCACCAAGGCTTCCTGCTTGACTTGAAACACATTGCTTGAAGGATTGGCCTTCAATTTAGGTATCTGGAAAACAGCAATGATAATTCATATGATTATTCACAGTGCACACTCTGCAGTCTGTCATCACAAAGTTCTGTAAAAATCCAAAGGGACAGCCTGCATGTCGGTAACCTTGTCATTAGCAGGGAGAAGTAGCCTTGAGATTAGTTCTCAAATCAGCTGCTGAAAAAAGATAATTTGCCTGCATAACAAAGGGAAGAAATTGGCTTGACAAATACCATTGGTTGTCTGGTAGGAGTTCTCTAATTAGGATTCTGCTCCAGGTGACTGCACCACATTAAATATGCGATTTTCTTTCTTGTAGGTGTCTGAGGGTTCTTTGGTCCAATTTTCATCAAGAAACTTCTCACTGTCAGCAGAAACAGAAGAAAGGAACTTCCCACATGGAAATGAACATCTGTTAAATTGGGCCCGAAAAGAGTTTGGAGCAGTCACTTCATTCACCGAACTCAAGATAGCACGGAACATTTACATTAAAGTGGGGGAAGGTAAATTTTATGTGGTTTCAATTAATGACTGATTTACGACAGTCAGTTGTTTTCTTTCCTGAGACCAGGTGGTCAGGGCGAGGAATCATATAATTACAGAATGTTGGAGCTGGCAGGGCCCCGAGGGCCTGTTTCCCCCACCCCCCCTTCCTCATTTTCCTGTAATGGCCCAGTGAGAAATGGGGGTGTGGCCTGGTTGAGAGAGGAGGAGCCAGAGGTAGTGGTGGAGGATTTAGAAACCAGCCCAGAGAATAGGACGTAGGGGGGAGAGGGAGGTGGGGAGCAAGGGGCAGGGGAGGCTGGGTGGGAAAAAAAATAACTAAATAAAATTAAAAAAAAAAAAAAAAAAAAAGAAACCAGCCCAGCACAGAAGTTAGAGAAAGTGAGCGGAGGGTGAGAAGCTCAGAGTGTGGTAAAGGAGGTGATAGCTTGTGGCGTGAAGGACGAGTTGGCAGGATGGGTCACCTGTTATTTTGCAAACATTTGAAGCCAATATCACATTGAGACATCAGTTAAATTTTGGATGATAGCAGAGGAAAAGTGTTTGAATATATTTTTAATACCAAGGCATGTTGCAAGGATAAATTACTGGAGAAAGGAACTAATTGTATGGCCTTGATAAGAGATTGCCCGTTTTGATTCCCTTGCCTTGCAGAGGGATACAAATATTCGGTGGCTCAATTTTGGAAGTGTATTTATTACTTTTAACAACTTTTTTTATTATTATTTTTTAGTTGAACATATTTGGAACCCCCGTAAATTACTAGAAATAACAACTCTTGTGAAAAGGTCCTTATAATCAGTCAGGTGATTATAGGTGATTGTGTGAAAACGGCCCTTCAGGTGCTCAGCGTCCATCTGCTTTCTGTTGCATTCGCGGCAGTTGTCACCTCCTCTGCAGGTGGCACACGGTGCGGGCCAGGTTACAGAGCGGCTGTTCCCAGCCCTTCAGGATCTGGGGTGTTTGACAGATGCAGGCAAGGTGAACTGCTGCTGGGGTGTGTGCTCTGCACAGAGGCAACATCAGGCGCTTTCAAATGCACCCACCCCACTTAATCCTGCCAGCAATCCTAGGAGGAGACCATTATTTCCATTATCTTACAGAGGGGTGAGTGGAGGGCAAAGCTAACTTGCTCAAATCCACATTTACTAACAAGTGGCAAAAGCCAGAACTCAAACCCAGGTTTCCTGAATCTTGAGTCTAATGCTTGTTGCCTAGTGCTATATTTTTAAGGCTCAGCCAAATGAGCATGACCTGAAAACCAAAGTGGGCCACCTGGATGGAAAGCCTTGTTCAGCAGATTAAGGAGAGGAGGAGTTTTAAATAAAAATTGGGTTTAACAAGTTAAACTTTGGCCCTGGCTGGTGTAGCTCAGTGGATTGAGCATGGGCCTGTGAACCAAAGGATGACAGTTCAATTCCCAGTCAGGGCACTTACCTGGGTCGCAGGCCAGTTCCCAGCAGTGGACGCATGAGAAGCAACCATACATTGATATTTCTCTCCCTCTCTCCTTTCTTTCCCTTCTAAAGATAAATAAATGAAATCTAAAAAAAAAAATTAGTAAAAAAAGTTAAAGTTTGTTACTCAAACTGTCATACTAGTCAGGTAGCTAATAATAGAATTCAAGTCCATTTGGAAGAAAATAAAAAATCTCTTAAGGCTCTAAGCCCTGGCCAATGGTCTGCATTTCTGAAACAGAATTCTAGTAGCATGAAAGAATGTTGATTATCCCTCCTTGGAATTTGTTAGAATAAGAAAATGTGTTGCAGGCACATTTAGACTGTGGGGCTCTGTTCTCGCGACGGTACACTAGCGTCTGTCCCCAGCCATCACCTGCCCTCACCTGCCCTTAGGGGGAGGGATTAAGTGTCTTCCCCAAGAATACACAGGCCTGGGTTGGTGAAGAACGTAAAGGACATGCCGTCCAGTCTAGTAAAAACCTCTTTGGACCTTGGTAACACTTTTGGAACCTCTGAAACTTGACACCAGCCATCTGTTGGCTAGAGGTCATTGGCCCACACTGTGGGGGGAACAGTTGAAGGAAGTGAGAGTCCTGGCGTAGGTCTGCTAGTGGCCCAGGCAGCAGTGTTGTGTCTCACCAGGGACGGGAGTCCACTGAGCAAGCCTCCTCAGCTAGCTTCCCAGAACCTGACCCTTCTCTGCCCAACAGCCCAGGAGGACCCCAGGCCTCCTGTGGCTCTATCCCCAAGAGCTCTCCAAGTGTGGTCCCTGCTCCAGCAGCATCCTTTTCACTTGGGAACTTATCAGAAATAGCACTTCTGGGGCCCACCCCAGACCAGCTGAATCATACACTGTGGGGGTGGGGTCTAGGCATCTGTGTTTTGAGGAGCACCGTAGGTAATTCTGATGCTCATTGATGTTTGAGAACTGCTTGTCTAACCTGTCCACCAGATTGGAAGAACTGGGAACTGTGGGGTTCTTATCCCTGCTGGTTGTATTAACTGTGATGCTTTAAGCAACACTCTGATTTACCACTGGAGCCTCAGTTTCCTCAGCAGGAAAATAGGAGTTCGCATCACCTCCCAGGCTCTCAGAATATATCATTCAAGGTCTGAAAGGCATTTGTCACTCCTTTCCTGAAATACACATAAGCATGTGACTGCCCCGTCCTCCCCACCTCGGACGTGCCAGGTCTCCACCCGGGGATTCCCCTCCGTGGTTTCCTTTCTACTTGGCAGTTGGTGTAGGTTTTGATGCCAGGCGTGCAGAAGGTCATGTTGGGGTGGAGGGGAACCACACGCACGCATGCATACACAACAAAAAGTGATTAGCTTATTCAACTTGGTGACAATGGCATCTGGGACTGGAGCCTTTAATAACAGCAACTTTTAAGCAATTAAACCTTTACTAGTGGCTTAGAAGGGTCACAATGTGAGTGAGTGCTTTGTTATATGTTTCGAATCTCATATCACCGTTTGTTAATTCAGGAAATGTATACCATCGACCTACTATAGCAGGCTCCCCTGTGCACTGAATATGCAGACTGAGTCCCAGGAGGGTCCTACTCTCTTGAGTTTGAGACTGGCCTGTCCCTGGCCCATCCACACACCCTCTGATTCTTAATGAAATTTCCGCCTTGCCACCCCAGTATCACTTTCCGTCCTGTGATCTTGGGGGAGGCATCCGCAGGGCTGCAGCTGCAGGGTGTGCATTCCTCATCTGCTCATCTGGCAAAACCCTCAGCAGATGTGAAGGGGAGGCTGCTCTAGCAGCCTGAGTTGGCGGAGTCCTGGCCTCTTCTCTCTGTGGGGGCTGCTAGGGAAGAATGCAGAGCTCATGCTCTCTTGCAACCAGCCTGCAAGCCGGGACCTCATGAGCTCCTCTGGTCCCATCCCTCTCTTCTAGGGATGGCTCTGGGCGGGGGGGCACGGTGCATGCTGTGGACTTCTGCACAAGGGTCATTGCACAAGTTTGGCAGGGGCGGGGAGGGCTTGATCAGCCCAACCTTGGGACCTCCTGGGCTGATTCCTCACTCCTTAGTGAGACTCGCACATGAATTTGAACCCTGGAATCCCATCCATTAATGAACGGGGCAGAAATGTGTTTCATTAAAGTGGCAGGACTCTGATTAATTATTACGCCTTCTGAAAAAAGTTTGCTACACCTAGAACTTCCTTGACACTGGTCCCAGCTGTCATACTGCCAGCAGTTTCAAGTTCTGTTTAAATATTTAAACCACTGAATGGAAATCCCATCAACGACAGCACTGTTTAAACTGCGTGTGCCGTTGGAGGAGTATCTTCCGACGCGTGGTGCTTGCATCCCTTGCCCTGGAGGAGGTGACAAGCAGCCCTCAGCACAATGAGACAATGCTCATGCAGGCACCTTGTGAACTGCACAGTGCCGTAGAGCCACTGGCCACCTGTGCCAGGGTTGGAAGAAAGGATAAAAAAATGTCTGCCCTTGCAGCATTCCCCAAACTCCTACCTTTCATCTTGAGAATATAAAGTGCTGTGAGGAATAAATAGAAGGAATGATTAATAGTACATGGTGGGTCAGAGGGTTAATTATGTGGCTGGTTCCCCTATTAACTGAAATAACACATATCCAAGGAGGAGCATATCTGGGGGTAGGGTAGATAATTGGATTCCGTGTTGAGTATGCTGACTGTGAAATACTTAGTGGACTTTTAGGTGGGAGGTACTTGGCAGAGAGTCTGCAGCTCAGACAGGGCATCATGTCTGGGTACATGTGGAAGCTATGGGAGTGGCTGAGATCATCCAGGAAAAATATGAGACAAGAGGACTAAGGCAGGAAATGAGGTTCTCAGCCTTGGTTTCATATCAGGATCAACCATGGAGCTTTTCACAAAGCAAGCTTCCTAGGTGCAACCTAGATTTTCCAAATCAGACTCTCTGGGATGAGGTCCGAACAGGTTGATTCTGATGGGCGCCGAAGACTGAGGACCACCAATGCTGAAAGGATGAGCAGAGGAGGAGCCCATGAGAGAGACCTAAAGGCAGGTCTGGGGAAGTGGATGAGGACCAAGAAGTAGCACAAAGCACAGTATTGGAGAGGGTTTAGACCAAAAGAGGCCAGTGGAGTTGATCCTGAGAGGTCCATGCTGACCAGAGCTGAGGAATTTCAGGACAGATCTTGAAGAGATCCCAGGCCCTTTCCTAGCACTCATGCTTCCGGTGTCCTGCCCTTGCTATGTCACCATCCTTCTTTCTTTTGAATCTGGTTACCAGGCAGAGCAGGGATTTGACAGGTTGTTCTATGCCCCTTTACTTTCAGATCAAGTATTTCCTCCCACATGCAACATAGGGAAGAATTTTCTCTCACTCAATTACCTTGCCGAGTACCTTCAGCCCAAAGCAGCGGAAGGGTGTGTGATGTCCAGGCAACCCCAGGATAAGGAAGTACATATCATCGAGTTAATCACCCCCAACTCTAACCCCTACAGGTGAGTGAGTGAGTGTGTGCTCCGAACTGAGACGAGATGAAAATAAATATCCTTCCTGACTTGAGGCAGGGAGAGGGCCAGCCCTCCCTGTGCAGGAGGGAGGGAGCTGCAATGCTTTGGGTGGGATTCACAGAAGCTTTGAAGAGGGGAGGAAAGGCACCAGTGGTAAATTTTATTCTCTGTGTCTTTCTCCGTATCCTCTATATTCCATCTGAGTTCCTGAAGCCTATTTTGAACTTCTTGGTGCTAAGTAATAGGACACAGTCATTCTTCCAACATCATTATCTCCTATGAGCTTATCCCTGATAAGGAAATTTCAAAATGTGTTTTATTGACATAATTATCATTTGAATAATGTTCTGTCTTCAGGAAGTTCTGTTCATAGTGTCATCGGGGCACTTTTGCACTGCAAACTGCTGACTTCAAAGCGGTGGGTGTGAGTGATGGGGGTGGCCCTTCATAGTGACACACGAAATAGCCATTAGATGTAACTTTCCTCTCCCTTGCGTTCTCGTTTTCCCTCTCCCCCTGCAGCTTTCTGAGCCAGGACTGGAAATTTAACCCTCTCAAGAAATACAAATTGGCAGTTACAAAATAGTCATAAGGATGTATAGTACAACCTAGAGAACATAGTCAGCAATATTGTAATAAGTATGTATAGTTTTAGGTGGGTTCTTGAAATATCGGGGGACCACTGTAAAGTTCATGACTGTCTAATCCCTAGGCTGTATGTCTGAAACTGATACAGAATAATATTGATGTAGCCAGCAATTGAAGGTAAAAAATTTTTTTAAATAATTAATAGGGATTTTAAACAAAGAATCAAAAGGGGAAAAGTCAGCTCTTCCACATTAACCTGCATGTCATGTAGGCTAAAGACTTAAAATATAAATTTATATTGTAGAGGGATGTCAAATTAAGGTTTTAATCAAACTTTGATTTGAAAAATGAATAAACTATGGATCAGTTTTGGAAAGATTCCATTCTGTCCCACATGAAGAGTTTTGTGAAAAGTTAAAAGGGGAGGAGAGTAGAAGCAATCTGGAGAATGTGCTGAAACATTAGGCCTAAGGCTTCATTTGAATATATCAGTCATGTATACGTTACAAGTATATAAAACCAAGATGGAAAAAAAGATTTTCCTTTAAATTCAAAATGATAGAGATGTTATTATTTGGTAAAAATTCTCTTTTATGCTGAATTCTTAGAAGCTTGGGTTGTGTTCATCAATTTTCCAGTAATCACTTGGTTGACCGTCTGTTTTCTGTATTTTTATAACTGTATATCCAGAAGTTTGGGAAAGTTAGTGCAGATATGATTCTGTAGCAGATGTTAATGGCTTAACCAAACCTTATGTAGGTCAAGAAATTCTCCAGCCCTTTGCCTTTTATTCTGGAGTTTCCTGGGTTTTTTTTTTTACTGCCACGCCTCCCTCCTCCCTACCACCCTTCACTCACCAAACTGCTGCCCACTTCTGATTTTGAGGGATTTTGAACATATAGCATATTGGAAAGTAAGACACGGAAACACTGAAGGTGTTGAAAGTTGAGAAAACAGCAATTCTGCTTCAAAAGTAAACTCTTCTGGTTTGTTCAAATACATTTCAAACAGTGGCTGTGTTAGATAACCACCTTTTTTTTTTTTCAAAGAGGAGAAAAATTTTAGTGGCTAATTATCAGCAGGCATATTTTGCTGTTGTTATGTAAGACCGTTGTGTTATGTGCGCACCAACAATCTGTTTTGCACATGTCATTTGCCTGGGATCGAATCCAGCTTTTTAATCAACTGGCCAGACACTGGAAACATGAAGACTTGGAAGAGGGGAGATAGTTGCAACTTTCTGGCATTTGGGTCCTAACTCTGCCTTTGTTTTCCATCCACAGTGCTTTCCAGGTGGATATAATAATTGACATAAGACCTTCTCGAAAGGATCCTGAGGTGGTCAAAAATCTCATCTTGATCTTAAAGTGCAAAAAGTCTGTCAACTGGGTGATCAAATCTTTCGATGTTAAGGGAAACCTGAAAGTTATTGTAAGTTGGTTGAGCATTTTTTTTTGTTTTGATGACTGGTAGTAATCTAAGCCATGTTTATATGTGTCATGTGTTATTATTATAAAGTTTCTGCCTCTTTGGACTCTCTCTAAGCTCTCTCAGGAATTTTTCACTTTGGAAAATAACCTACTCCTTGGCTTCTCCTGGCAAGGGTGAATAGTGTGGTGGTTAAAATGATGGACCCTGGGGTCAAGACAGACCCAGGCTCGAGCCCACACTGTGTGACCTTGAGTAAGTCCTTTAACCTCTCTGGACCTCATCTGCCTCATTTGTGAAATTCCTGAAATGTATCAGTGTGCTTCCCAGCATAGCAGCTATAAAGTAATGCATACCATTAAACCTTTCATGACTGAGTCCTTCCTGTAAGGCCCGCCCACACTCTCCACTTTTGAGATGAACACATGATGTTGCCACGTCTTTTCTAACTTCTAAGGGTGAAACACCGATGTAATAGATTCACAGTAATGGAGAGGCTGGTGGGATGACATTGGGGAAGTCACGCCCTCCCACCGGTCCCCTAAGCATCGTGTTTCACGAAGGAAATATGCTGAAGGGTTTTAGCTGGTTGGCATGATAAGCCAGTAAATAGCAGTATGTTCTTGAAAATTTCAATGTGGAAATTTGGTAAAATAAAAACTTTTCCAAATATGTCTGGGGAGATACATATTTGACAGAATATTGGAGCAAATCGTAATGAGAGTTAAAGAAAAATCCCCCTTCTGATTTTTAAGGAGATAATGACCTCTTTAGCATCGTTTTTGTAGGCTCAATTTTTATACATTTTCTTCTAAAAAAAAATCGCAACCAATTGTCTTTTCATACCCTGTGTGGAATCATTTGCAGTGGGTTTCATGGTTTCAGTGCAGTGGGAGAGGGATTCCTTTGGTTTCGGTATTGCTCACTCATGGCACCTTCATGCAATACAGCAGAGCAACGCCAGCGGTCCCCTAGGCAACGTCATAGACAGCACTCACCCGAGGCAGCAGGCAAAGCCATGAGCGCACGCATCTCAATTTACAGTAATTGATTCTGGTTCCTGTGGTTTTTTTGGTTTTCTTGTCTTTTCTTTCTTTTTTTAACTTTGAGAGGATCCCAGTAAGCCATCATGTGTAATGATGATACATTAATTGGTGTGGAGCCCAAAGCCCAGCCATGATTTTCTGAAGTCAGAGCTGTTTTGATTGCCTTCCCCAGCGTGGCATGCGGGGTGTGGCTGACCCCGAGGTGTCTGAAGCCTTTGCTGCTGGGCACACCAATCAAGTGTTTTTAATTTCAGAATAACAAAAAACAGGAAAGGGCATCGTGCCTTGAAAGACAAAAACATGCGGTACATTTAATTCCCTGCCGGAGTTCTTGCGTAAATGTTCTTTAGGCCCTGACCCTTCCATGGCTCTTTCTCTCCCTGAGTTCATGTGCCTGGTCCTCGGCAGTCCTGGTGTTCACTTTGAATGTCTCCACTTCTCATCCGAATCAGGAAGGCTAGGGACGAGGTTGCTCATCCCAATGTAAGATCTGTTTATATTTCTCTCCTTGGCCGCACTTCTGTTCCAGGCCAGTTTTGGACAGTGCATGACAACATTACTAAACAATTAGGTAATGTTTCATAATGTTCTTTTTTATTCCCCCAGTTTCATGCTTCATGATTTCCCAATTCCCCATCTCAGATGTGACTTCTGCCTGAGCTCTGAGGGATAGTTACTTACGAATAAAAAAGCATACATTTGTGCTTAGAAAGAGGGAAATGGCTTACAGTGACCTTGTTCTGGTACTTCCTGTAAAGACAGTATGGTACAGTGGAAAGAATCTGGCTTTGGAGCCACACAGGGGCGGACTCAAATCCCATCTCCAATCGTCATTACTCCTAGTCAAGACTGGCTAATCCAGCTGAACTCCGAGTCTGTTTCCTGACCCGTGAAATGGATCCAATAATAGTATTCATCTTGAGAGTGATTGTGAGGTTTAATGGAGTTTGTATTCATTCATTTATGCATTTAAAAAACCACTCTCAAAAAGTTTGTCTGCAGGAGCAATTAACTGCTCTAAACAAAGTGGAAACAGAAAATTGTCCGCTTTGGAAGGAACTTGATGGGGTGACTTAAAGAAGAGCACCATTATGTATGGATGGTGTGTGTGCATGTGTGTGCACAGGGTCGTGCTGTGGGCAAAAACGGGAGCACCAAATGAGACTACATGGCCATGCCAACCTCTTTAGCTCCCTTGTGGACAATGCATGATCAGATTTTGGAAGAACCTCCAAAACATAAAAGAATAGATGGAGGAAATGTGTTAGAAATGTACTGTTGTAACATTTTATGGTCTCAGGACTTTAAGGTTGGCAATAGCCATTTTGTTCTTAGAAAGCCATTTTTTAAATCCCAGTGGGAGTGTATGCACTGTACTCTCTGTCCAGCCTTCCCTGCAGGCCCCTCCCCTCTACACCAGCAGTTCCACTGCAACTGTGTGCTGGGTGGGTTAGGGGCAGGTGGAGGCACTCAGATTTTACCTAGCTCGTCATCCTTTGTGAAGATGGGGTGGGAAAGGTTGCAGTGGTATTTGGAGACCCCTGTGAACTGTCCTGTTTTGAGTAGCTACACTGGGGCCTTAGAAAAACCTGGGGACTCCCAGAAATACAGGGTGAGGAGTTCACTCCTTTCTGGCAACCAGCTTACCTTCTGTTGCCCCAAGCCTTGCTGCTTTACAAATGTGTAGATAGATTTGTGGCCTTGTAAATCCCAAGGCATAATCAGTGTGAGTTGTACTGACAGCTCCTAGATTTCATGTGGAAAGGTGTAAACAAATCACTCCATACTGGTACAAAAAGGACAGGTGGCCATTATGATGATAGTATTCTGGAAATACAGTATTTTCTCAGCTGTCCAACAACATGAAAGACTGGGCCGATGAGGCCAAGCAGTAGTGTTTAGGCGTGTCCCAGTACTCCAGCCAATCCACACAACGTGCTGCTTTGAAAGGCTGGGAAGAAGCTGTGCTTAAGAAACTGCTATTGACTAAATGAATAAAAAGTTGTAAAAACAAGTTAGATTCTTCTTTTCCTCATTTTAGTTTTCTTTCTTTCTATTTTTAACCCTTCCTTCCCCTAAGGAGTTTTCTTTCAATCAAGTAAGAGCTAGAATATCCAAAATCCATGAAGCTGAGGGTTTGTTCGTTTGTTTTTAATGGTTACAGACCTTAGTTGAAGCTGTCTGGTTCCATTGCATGCATGACCGTGACTGGCCGGTGTGGCAGTTCTTTCTCAGATAAGCACCTTGGGTAATAGAAAAACATACTTGGTGAGCTCCTTTAAGCTTAGAATTGAAGATATGTATCCTCAGCTAGTATCCCACAACCAAAAAGGCCAAGAGAACTTGGAGGCTCTGAATCTTCCGTGGTCTTACAGTGGGAAAGGATTAATATTTAGTCATGTTAGGGGGCAAACAGAATGGGAAACAAATGGGGAATTTAGGGAAAACGCTGTATGAATGTAGGCGAAAATAATCGGGCATGGAAATGAAAGTGATTTTTAAACAGCATGGAAATGCTGTAATCTGCATGCTGGAAAGGCGTCTAGCCCTGGTGGGGCAGTTGCTGAAAATGTGCCTTCTTTGGGGTCCTCTCTGCCTCATTCAGCTCTCTCTTCATCTGACAAGGTCGCTGCAGAAGGTGATGTGGAAAATTGCCTTCCATGTCCTGGTCACTCAGAGTCCTTTTATATCCTTTCTTGAAAAGATTTTTATCATTCAGTTTGAATTTTGTAACTGATTACCATGTGAAAGCCAATTTTAAGACCATTTGTGTTGCTGGATTAAGAAATAATTTAGAGGCACAGTAACTAATTTAATATTTAGAGCATAAAACCTAGACCTATTCAGTTAATAGAATCGGCAGATGAATACAATTATAGGATTGCTAAATAGATCATAAATGGTAAGTGAAGTATAAACATTCTTTTTTCACCATATGGAATTTAATAGTTTACAAAGATGAGATAGTCTCCTAGTCAGTACTGAAGCAGCTAAGTCATGCCTTTTTGCATTTAAATCTAGGGTACAAGAAGTAGAAACAGACACTTCTTTTGGCAATATAATACGCACATCTGTATCCTTAGTACATAATTTTAAATAAAAATAAGGGAAAGCTTGGTTTTCATACATATTGGATATGTGTGTGTTAATAATTTAAATATTAACTCTGTAGTAACATACTACATACACTTAGTAAGTAGCTGCTTAGCCGTCATTGGATTATTTTTATCAACATAAGCAACCCCAAATGCTATGACCAGTCAGAATGAATAGATTTCTTCTCATCTTTTTAAAAAGACTTTTCACATCAGTGTTTTTAGTCCAAGGAAAATAGGGATTAAGAGAATTGACCTGGCTGGTGTGGCTCAGTGGTTTGGGCACTGGCCTGCTACAAAGGGTTGCCATTGAGATTCCCCGTTAGGGCACATGCCTGGGTTGCAGGCCAGGTCCTCATTTGGGGGCACATTAGAGGCAACCACACATTAATGTTTCTCTCTCTTTCTTTCTTCCTTCTTCCCCTCTTTCTAAAAATAAATAAATAAATAAAAACATTTTTTTAAGTTAAAAACAATTTTTAAAAAATAAGTTCATATGCAATGTAAAATCTATTTATTTTAAATATTTAATTATTCTAATTTAAACACCATTTAGACTCATAAGTGAAATTTTGCTAATATCTTCAGGCTCCAAACAGTATTGGCTTTGGAAAAGAGAGTGAGAGATCCATGACAATGACTAAATCAGTAAGAGATGACATTCCTTCAACCCAAGAGAATCTGGTCAAGTGGGCTTTGGACAACGGCTATAGTCCAGTGACATCTTACACAGTGGCTCCTGTGGCGAACAGATTTCACCTTCGGCTTGAAAATAATGGTAAGTAGGATTTTTAAAAAATTGCATTAAAATCCCTCAAATGAAGCTTTCCAATGAGGAACTCTAATTTTAGCTTACGTGGTCCTGTTTTTCTATTGCAAATTTTAATAATTTGTTTGACTGCTTTTTACTATAAAACTACAAGTTATCTAGAATTGTAGATCATTTTGAGGCAACTATCTTTAATACAGATTTTTGTTATAGATCACCTTCACCGTGATTGCATTAAGGGTAAATTAACCGTGTTTCCTCTCTCAGAGGCACCTACTGATCACTTACAGCTGAGGTACATTGGCGCTGAGACTGCAGGAGAGAGCTGTTAGGTCGCTGTCTCTTATACGAAAATAGTTACAAGGATTCATACATGTGTCTCCTCATTGTCATGCAGAGGGAACGCAGGAGTTACCTCAGTTTGATGGAGCAGAAAGCAGAGGCTTAACTAGTTCTGGAGGTATTCCAGAGTCTTATAGTTAGAGGGACTCAAATACCAAGTTTTCTGATCCCCAGACCTGTTCCTCATCCCGTGTACCTCTACTGAGCACAGTGCCAATAGGATGAAGGTCAGGAATACAGGTTCAAAGCCCCAGCTCTGCCGTTTATTCACTGTTTGAGGGGAGAGGTTGCTTAACCTTTGAGCCTCAGGTTGTTCTTCCTCAGTAATGTCAGGGAACAATAAAACAGCACCTTCCTTACAGGGTTCCTGTGAAGTTTTTTGTCAAAGTACAAATTAAAAATCCCTCCAAAGCTCTGACTTGTTTTGGACCCATACAGCTGTACTGTCTTTTTCAAAAAGGTGGTGTTAGAGGAAAGTTGGTGTCCACTGATCACCTTTTCTTCCAATTCCCACTGAGCTAGATTGACCTCAAGCTTCCATCAGCTGGCTCTGGAGAATGGTTTCAGAGAATACCGGGGAAAGGGTTTTTGTCTCTTTGTTTTTCTCTACATTATTGACAATATGGAAAAACAGAGAGTATTGATTAAATGGGAATACGCTTCTCCCTTTGAAGGAATAAGTATCTAAGCAGCTTTTTTGGGGGGGAGGGGCGGAACTAAGCAGCTTTATTTTCTCCTTTAGATTTAGGTTCTTAAAAGGCCACAGTGCCCAGATACCTGTTAGAATTTAGGAGTCAGAAAGGAGCCTGAAAGTCTTTAGAGAAACTCTTCTAAAGAATCTCTAGATTTAAGGGAAGTATTTCAATGGCATATGAACCAACTAATATTGTCCCACATGCATTCAAATCATAGATTTTTGTAGCTTGTAGGGCTTTAGAAGTCATCTAACCCAGTGGCTCTCAATCTAGGCTGTACATTGGAATCACGTGAGAGCTTTAGGACATATTAATGATTGGGTACCACTCCAGAGGGTCTGATTTTTCATTGGCCTTGGGTGTAGCCTGGGCATAGGATTTTTTTTTTTAGTGCTTCCCAAAGTGATTTTAATGTGCAGCCAAATTTGAGAACCACTTGATCTCATTGAATTTCTTAATTTTAGAACTTGGGAAACTAAGGCACAAAGAAGAAAGCCACCGGTCCAAAGCCACTTAGTCAGTTAAAAATACCAGGACTAAAATTCGGGCTTCTAGACAACTCATCTTTTCCACATTACTGGTTAAGATGAATTTTATACACTCCCATTCTATACTAATTCTTTCTGTTCTTGCCTCTAACGATGATGATTGCGGCCTGGCATTCAACACCCTTGATGTTTTCCTCTCTTCTGTCACTACCAGAGGAGATGAGAGATGAGGAAGTCCATACCATCCCTCCCGAGCTACTGATCCTGCGGGACTCTGGCACCCTGGACAACCTACCCACTCGGGAAAGAGGAGGCCTAAATAGAGGTTTCCCCTTTCCTTTCCTGGAGGTCCCCAGGAAAGGCCAGAAAGAAGGGGGAGAAGATGGGATCTTCCCGCCAAAGGACCCTGTCATCCCCAGCTTACGACTGTTTCCTGGTCCCAGGGAGCCTGAGGAGGTGCAAGGAAGCATGGATGTCGCCCTGTCAGTCAAGTGCGACAATGAGAAGATGACTGTCGCTGTAGAAAAAGATTCTTTTCAGGTCAGTGCAGTTCCTTAAAGGAGAGAAGAGAAGACCATTCCCCCCACATCTTCTGTTAGTATGTGTCTGTTATTTCTCTCTCTTTCATTTTCGGACTCCAGAGACTTGATACTGTTTTCTTAGTTGGATGGCTCACTTCCCTTTGGCTGTGTGATTCTCACCCAGTGTCTGTTGTGCTCAGTAAGGGGGGCTCCAGATCCTTGTGTGTCAATATTTTGCTATTGGATTTCCAAGGCCAACAAACACAATCCTGTTTGAGAAGAGTTAGGGAAGGTGGGGGAGGGGTGCAGGCCTCCAGCAACCTGTGCTTGGAGGACCAGGCAAACTGTTAACTATGTGCTGTAGAACTGCTTGTGGGCCCCCTTTACATCTTCGGTGGTTATTGTTTCAGGCCAACAGCTACTCGGGGATGGAGCTCACCCTGTTGGATCCTAACTGCAAGGCCAAGATGAATGGCACCCACTTCATTTTGGAGTCTCCCCTGAATGCCTGCGGTACTCGGCACCGGCGGTCGGCCCCTGATGGTGTGGTTTACTATAACTCTGTGAGTGTTCTCCAGAACAAAGCTTGGCCCTTTGCCAGAGCTTTGTAGGGTGTTACTGTAAAATTAGCCTTAATGTTTCTATAAAAAAAAGAGGAGGGGCCTATACACCAGGCCCAAACAAAGCCCAGTGTCAGTTCTCAACAAAATGAGCTGCACTTTGACCCTGAACTTTTTTTGTTATATTTGCTTTGCTGGTAAATCTGTGGGAATTGGGAAGCCCTGTTTTCTTGGTTGGAGCATTTGTGGCTATCTGTTCCATCTTCTGGTGACAAAGGGTTCACCGGCAAGGTAATTATGACCTGTCTCTCTGGCTGAGCTGCAGAATCAAATGGCCTGGTCCTTGTGAGGGTAAAACCCAAGCCCTTGGGCTATGAAGGAGCAAATCTACACAGCTGAGCCACCCAGAGACCCATCTCTCTGGCCTCATCTGAGTCCTGCCAAGACATGGCAGGACTTCTTCCTCCCTCATGAACAGAAGAGTCACAAGAGAGAAATCCAGAAAGGGCAATCAAGAAATTAGTATTAAATCTCTCTGCACCTCTAAGAAAGACTGTAAACTGCAGGAAATCTCCCACTTCTGGTTACCCAGAAGAGGATTTCACAGATCCCCTGATAATCCATTGCAACTACTAACCTGTACTTTCTGAAATCACTCTTGTCAGTTCATCTAAATCCTTTCAGATTAAACCTTTTCTCACAGAGATGACACCAGGCAGTGAATGTTAAAATAATTTGATGTGATATTTTAAAAGAACTTTATAGTATTACTTTCGCAGTTCACATTGTACTTTTGATGGTAAAATAAGGCTCAAAGAGCCCTGTGTCCAGCTTTGATGTGATGCGTTTTCTTACATCTGCTCTCTTAGCGCCTGTTTCAGTTTTGGCCTGGGACACGGAGGAGCGAGACTGCTTATTCTCGTTCATTCCACTGCCAGTAGATAGATACATTGACCCAACCAGAGAAAAGACTGATGATCAGGTACTCCAGTCAGTGAAGCTCATGTGGGGACTGAATCACTCATGAGCCCCTGTTTACTGTTCCTCAGACAATCTTACATGTTTGAGCTGAAAAGAACCCTAAGATGATCTCATTCAACTTCCTCATTTCACAGGTGAGGAAATTGAACTACAGGGAGTTAAGAGACTTGCTTAGGTTTGAGGATCTCAATGGCAGAGGCAGGACTGGATCCAGCTTCCTGACCTCTCGTCTGCTCATCTTTCCTCAACACCAACCTAGCCCAGCTAACCTCCCTTTGTCATTGGAATAATTCATGAACCTTTGACCTCTATGATGAACACCCTCCTGCCAATTCCAACACTAATATTGGTTGCAATTATTCTGTTTTTCCAGATATAATGAATGTCACATTGCTGATACACTGTACTTGATTTGGAAATTTTATTTTTATTTTTATTTTTTTTGGAAATTTTAAACTTGTGTCTAAATGAACACCAATAAGAAACTATGGTAATCTATCTGTTAAATTTTTTTAAAAAAGAAAAGAAAAGAAGGTCATTTGCCTCAGAGGAGAAAGGTGTATGAATCAGGAGCACTTGAAAACCTTCTCTTCTTACATGGACATTTTATGGTGGGATTGTGATGATGAGACATTTGACAGCAGGGTAAGCAGTATCCTAGGTACTTGCTTCAGGTACATTGGTACTTTCTTTCGAAGGTCTGGTAAAGGATAGAGAAGTGGTTTTCCTACATTCTCTTCCCTTCAGTGAATATTGTAGCTATTTGTTCCAGTTATATTTGTTTGTAGTAGTTATCAGACTTACTATATATATTTTTTGCAACATATTCAGAATCTAAACATGTAAAGCAAAAAATCAAACAAAAAGAGAGCATGACTATCTTACATATTTGTGGAGTCATGGTCCTTCAGTGAGTTTTTTTATCTTATCTAGTACCAACCTAGGAATACTCATTTCAACCAGTGCCATGGAATAAAACATGATGTTCTTTTGTGTGTCTCAATACCATTGAGAAAGATATTTAGGAAGAAATGGTGAAAAAATAGAGGAGTACAAGAAAAGGGATGAGGAGAGAATGGCTCAATAGTAAACACTAAGTCCTTTGCTTCTACCTCAAACCAGACTTTTTACAGATCTCAGTGGGTACAGATAACAGAAGATCCTTGCATTAGCCAGACAGAAGATCCTACTCCTAGTCTGCTAGGAGTAGCTCCCCTCCCCACTGTCTAGGAAGGTCTATGGACAACCCCATTCAACCCTATTTCAGTGTCTAGTATTTTCTCACTGTTTGAAATTATTTGTATTTTTTTCACAAAGGGAGATAAGTATTTTAGTTCAAGTATTAGTTTGAACATGAATTGGTCTTATTTTTATTTTTCATCTCTTCGAAAAAGAAATTGTAAGCAAACTTGGTGGAGGAGGAGTGTGTGTGTGTGAGTGTGTGTGGTAACAGCAAGTGCATGTGATTTGGGGTGTTTTGACATTCTCTGTGCTTTCTTTGCCCTTTAGATTGTGATACAGGTTCCATCCCCTGGGGACAGCAGTGGGTGGCCAGATGGCTATGAAGATTTGGAGTCAGGTGATAATGGATTTCCAGGAGATATGGATGAAGGAGATATTTCCTTCTTCAGCCGACCTGAAATTTTGGTGGTATGTGTTTGCAATAAGTAGTTTGTGGAGAATGTTGTGTTTTTGGCTAATTATACTTTGGAACAATTGTGGGGGCAGGGGCTGGATATTAAAGGCTAAAGCTTATAAAACTATAGGACCTTCATCCTTCATTTAGCTATGGTTTATCTCTGTCTTATTTTTTTTCTTCCCTAGTTTAACTGCAGCCTGCGGCAGGTGGGGAATCCCAGTAGCTCCCAGGACACGCCCAACAGAAACATCAGCTTCAACATGGAGCTGTACAACACTGACCTCTTTCTGGTGCCCTCCCAGGGGGTCTTCTCTGTGGCAGAGAAGGAACACATTTATGTTGAGGTGAGATTTCAACGTTAGCCTTGGCCTTTTAGTGCTACCCTGTGATAGCTCCCGGGTGGGAACTAAAGCATCTTCCCCGCTCCTCCTCACAGCCCTTAACCAGCTCTGGGTGAGGGCTGGGCTCAGAAAATGCTTCCAGCTTGATTTCCGACCAAGGCAGAAAATTTCCAGATTTGCTACATTATCCTAAATGGAGAGTGTTTTACAGGCAAAGGTTTTATAGGCAAAGGAATTCACATCGTCAGTGTGAATTCCAACAAAGCCTGTCCTTGCTTAGCATTTTTGGAACAGTAGTTACGGTGTCAGAGTTAACCATCAAGTACTTCAAACCACCTCACATCTCACCTTTTAAATTGCCCACAAGTTGGCGAAATGCTATGTGCTATTGTGTCTCATGAAAATTGTTTTTTTCTAGGTCATTATTTAAATGTATCTATAAGTTTATTAAAACTATTTCCTAGTTATAATGCTAATGTACACAGCATAAGTCTGTGAAATAGCTACAAAAATATTAGGTAGTGGTGGTGATAATGAAATAACAACAGCTAACATTTATCTCAGATTGATTTTGTGTCAAACTCAGTTATAAAGAGTGTAGTAATTTACTCTTCAAAGCAATCCTGTGAGACAGGGCTATCCCCATTTTTATCTATAAAATGTCTATAAAATATCCCCATTTTATAGATAAGGAAATCAAGGCAAAAACTTGTCTAAGGTCACACAGTTCCTACCTACTAGAGAGAGGTCAGAGCCAGGACTCACTCCAGAGCCCACCCTGTTATCCAGTGGACACTACTATCGTTCATCCTTAAGTGCAATTTGAAAGGGGAGAAAGTGAAACCTCTTAGTAGTGCAAATATCCAGGTCCACAGATCAGACTCTAGACAAGACAACTCCCTGTAGGTCCCCGGGATGCCTGCTGGTCTTACAGGGGTGTGGTCATCTGAGGAGCTGGCTTTGGTGCTAAGCTGCAAGCTGGTGGTGTCCTTCACTGTGGGAGGAGTGAGAAGCCGAACAGGTCAAATGGGATACCTCTGTATATTAAAAGGAACTTCAGCACACATATTTCTGTTTTAGAAAGACAAATAACTCTCACATTTGTACAGGTTCTGGGACAGAGCCCACTGCCTCTAGACATTTTCCTGGATCTCTCCTTGTTTTAATTCCCTGTTTTAAGTGGTCTTCTCTTTCTTCGGGTATACCTTCTTTCTCCACTGGGGAAAATAAACTGCTTTCTACATGCTGTTCCTAATCATAGATCTCCTCTAATCCAAGATCGTTGTTTTCTTCTTGCTTTTCTGGCTGTGCAGGCCATATGTGCAGTTGGTCGGCGACTCCCTGTTGTGCTATGGATTTTAGAGGCTCTGCTTAACTGCAGTTTGTTCTTTCCCCAATGTGTGCCTGCTTTTGCTAATTCATGGCTTAGCTGCTTTATGCTAATCAGTGACCAGGCTTCCCCATGGATCCAGCCCTGGGGGGTTGGTTTTTCTCCCTTTTCCCCCAGCGTGGATCTACTTGGAACGTGAGTTTGTTTGTCTGTGGTTTTTTTAAAATTTTTTTTATTGATTATGCTGTTACAGTTGTTCTATTCCCCCCGTTCATTCCCCTCCACCCCACCCCCTGTCCCCACCATTACCCCCCCTTTAGTTTATGACCATGTGTCTCAAGTCCTTTAGATTCTGTATTTCCCATGCTATTCTTGCCCCCCCATCTATTTTCTATCTACTGTCTATGCTACTTATTTTCTGTACCTTCTCCCCCCTTCTCCTCCTCCCACTCCCCTGTTGCTAACCCTCCTTGAGATCTTCATTTCTATGTTTCCACTCCTGATCTAGCTGTCCTTTTAGTTTGCTTTTGTCTTAGGTGTGGTTGTTAATAACTGTGAGTTTGTTGTCCTTTCACTGTTCATGTTTCTTTAACTTCTTTTTCTTAGGTAAGTCCCATTAACATTTCATATAGTAAGGACTTGGTGATGATGAACTCCTTCAATTTGATCTTATCTGAGAAGCACTTTATCTGCCCTTCCATTCTAAATGAAAGTTTGGCTGGATAGAGCAATCTTGGATGTAGGCCCTTGCCTTTCATGACTTGGAATACTTCTTTCCAGCCCCTTCTTGCCTGTAAGGTCTCTTTTGAGAAATCCACTGACAGTCTGATGGGAACTCCTTTGTAGGTGACTGTCCCCTTATCTCTTGCTGCTTCTAGGATTCTCTCTTTCATTTGAATCTTGGCTAATGTAATGATGATGTGCCTTGGTGTGTTTCTTCTTGGGTCCAACTTCCTTGGGACTCTGAGCTTCCTGGATTTCCTGGAAGTCTATTTCCTTTGCCAGATTGGGGAAATTCTCCTTCATTATTTGTTCAAATAAGTTTTCCACTGGTGGCTGTGCCTTTCCCCCTTCTGGTACCCCTATAAGTCGGATGTTGGAGCATTTAAAGATTTCCTGGAGGTTCCTAAGACTCTCCTCATTTCTTTGAATTCTTGCTTCTTGACTCTTTTCTGTTTGGCCATTATTTGCTTTCTTCTGGTCCACTCCACTGATTTGAGTCCCAGTTTCCTTTTCATTGCTATTGGTGTCCTGTGCAATTCCATTCATTTCAACTAGTTTCGCCTTCATATATTTGTCTAATTTGTGGCTATAATCAACCAGTTCTGTGAGGATCTTGATCACCAGTGTTTTAAACTGTGCATCTGAGAGTTTTGCTATTTCTTCATCACTTAGATTTATAGGCTCTGGGGCTTTGAGATCTTCTTGAGCCATTTTTGGTCTGTTTGCGTCCTTTAAGTGTGAGGAGCAAGGCCTTGGACTCAGGTTGCTGGGTTGTGACGCTGTATGTGGGGGCGTGGTCAGAGTGGGGAAATGGCGACCCCCTCTGCTGTTTTGCCCGGAGCAGTGCCTTAGGTGGTTCACTGGGCCGGGCCACTCAGAGTCGCTGGGTTATAACGCTGTATGTGGAGGTGGGGTCAGAGCAGGGAAATGGCGGCGCCCTCCCTGCCGCTTGCCGTGGGGACCCGCTGGGTTCTGGTCCAATCGCCCACTCCCTTGCTTGTCTATCCGCGCACAAATGCGTGACCACAGTCAACCCGCAGCCCTGCTCCTTCGCTGATTCCCCACGGTCGCTCGCTTGGTTGCTCGCTCAGTCGCTCACTAGGTCCAACCCTGCGTCTGGATTCCGCACGCCTGAGTCGGTCAGACTGAGTCCTCCTGTGCAACCCCGCTCCACCAGCTGCTGGTTTCGCCCCTTACCGGTCAGGCTGAAGAATTTGTTGTTAACAGACTTCCGAAAAGTTCAATTTTCTGTGTTCTGGCTGTGTTTTCTGTTGTTAATATTTAGTTGTCTCTAAACTTGGTTGTGTGAGAAGGCACGGCATATCCACCTATGCCTCCATCTTGGCGGAAGTTCTGTCTGTGTTGTTTTTTACTGGTATCTTCCCACTTATGTCTTTTCTTATATCATCTATGTTTTTCACAATTAAATTCTGTCAAAAATATTGTCAGGATGAAAAAGAAACAAGCCAAATCTTTTTGCTACCATTTTAAATATTAAGTGCACTGAGGAGAATTTGGGCAGGGGGAAAACACTGTAAGTTGTTTTAAGCCACCTAAAATATGAGAATCTGTAAATATCTTGCTAAATGGGGTAGCAGCTATATGCATATTCTTTATGTCCCAGTTTGGATTCCACTGCTAATAAGAAAATGATACATTTTTTTTCTTTTTTAAAATGTTTTTGTTCAGGAGAAGTAAAACTTACTAAATCATTGGCTTGGCTAAGGAACTATTTCCAGGTTTTTTTCTCCTGGCCATTCTTCTCATACTCCCTTCCAGGGTCCTCCGTTCATTCTAGACCACAGCCCCTTCGTTGAATCCGAGACGTTATCAGTCTTGCCCCCTGGGCTTTGCCACCTGCGATACTGGACCACATAATGGCAGCGTCTTTTAGTTCATTCATCATGGGGAATTAAAAAAACTATAATAATGCTGGTATTTTTTGAGTAACTGCAAACCGTGCTGTTTGTATGTAATGTTGACTTTACAAATCCTCACAGTAACTGCATGTAGTAGGCAGCACCCCTCCATCTGTAGCGGAGGAAAATGAGGACCAGAGTTCATGTCCATGAGCCACAGAGCACTCGGTTTCCTGGGGTTGGGCTCACTGCACAGCTGACAGCCCTTCCACCACTCATTTCCCATCCATTTCAGAGCAAAACACTAATAACAACGCTTGTCCTCTAAAACAACTTTTGTGGATACCTTAGACATTCTGCCATTTTATATTTCTTTGAGATTAGAGAAAAGATTTACATTTCCTCTGTCACACATTTTTGCATTGCAGGTTCTGAGTTCATGTTATGGGACACGTTTTAGTTTAAACGAGATTTATGTAGTTTACTATCTTTTCAGGATAAAATATCTTAGTTTTCAGAAATATTGCCAAAGTGGTGACATGAATAATTACAGACTATCAAACACTACTTACCAAAAGTATTTCTCACAATGCGTTTTCCCAAGACTAGTCCTTGGGCCTGGTTGAATTGACCCTATAGCTACAGCGAAATAGTAAAGATAAAATGGACTTGTGATCAGAATATCTGGGCTTAAGCTTTGGTTTTACCCAGTATTTGCTAGATATGATCTTGACAAGTCATCCCTTCTATGTGTTCAGTTTTTCCTGTATTTATAAATTGGAGATGAAAATATTTATCTCGTCAGATTGCTCTCAGGGATTGAGCCTCAAGGCACGGTGAGGTGACATGATCACAATGGCCCTCACTGTCAAGTGCCCTGTGGTTAACCATGAAGGCATCTTGCAAAACAGCGCTATGGACTGAGAGCCCCATGCGATGTCCGGGAGTTCCTCTGGGTTTCTCAGAATGGAAAGTGTGTTTATACCCTCATGCCTTTTGAAAGGATTCTGGGGCTCTTGGTCTATGGTTAAGGACTAACTTTATAAATCTAAAGAGTTTAAGTTTATTTTGATTCTAAGTTTAGTCAAGGAATGAAGCCTGGAAGGGAGAGGCAGTTTGCACAGTGATCCACGTGTCACCAAATGGAGAGTCCGGTCTGGTCCAGGGATTTTAGCTGAGTTCAGGATGGTTGAGGTTTGAGTTCCGTTTACACTTGGCCGACCACTACTTCCTGTTTCTAAAGAAAAGAACCTTAACAAGGTTTGGATACAAGGTTTGCCGGTACAAACGTTTTGTAAGAGGGAAGTGTAAATGAGTCGGAAACGTTTCCAGATTAGGTTTCCCTTAAAATACTGTTGGACTTAAAGAGTGAAGGGAGAGTACTTGGCAAGGCCTGGCTTGGACCTGTGAGAGGCTGGGATGCTTTGCCAGGCTCGTGATCACCACCAGATTGCACCATAGCTGACGTGCAGCCATGGGGGCCGCTTCTGCCTGTTCCTGTGAAACAAGACTTTCGATGAGTCTGTAGCTTTTCTGCAGTGTTTTGGGCTCTCTCTTACTTGTAGCAGTTTGGACATTTGGTGCTCCCTGCCTAGGTTGGATAGATTCTGCCACTGTGTTTTTGAGCAGCTTTATAAAAAGAGCACGCCTTACAAATGCACTGTTACGACATTAGGGGCTTTGCTGGATGGTGTTTTATTTATTTTGGAAAATCCACTTTATGTACATGATATGCTTTTACTTTTATCTCCCAGAGTACTCAGGGGAGGTTGAAGAGACTTAGTCGTGTGGTATTGGAATTGCCCAGGCTGGCATTTGAACTAAATAATTTACTGTCACCATCCATACCAATACGTTACTTGTATCGTTATAAAGGAGACTCAATTTGTATATTGGTGAAAATAAAGAAACGTCTCTCATCAGAAGAGCCATGTTGGTACGTTACCCTTGCGCCTACAGTAAAAGTGAGATGCTGACTTGTTTCTGTATTGATTGTTCTGTTCTTCGTAGGTGTCTGTTACGAAGGCTGACCAGGAACTGGGATTTGCCATCCAAACGTGCTTTATCTCTCCATACTCGAACCCTGATAGGATGTCTGATTACACCATCATTGAGAACATCTGTCCTAAAGATGAATCTGTGAAATTCTACAGTCCCAAGAGGATGCTCTTCCCTATCTCACAAGCTGAGGTGGATAAGAAGCAATTCAGCTTTATTTTTAAGTCTGTCTTCAACACCTCATTGCTCTTTCTGCAGTGTGAGCTCACTTTATGTACCAAGAAGGAAAAGGACCCTCCAAAGTTACCTAAGGTTAGTGGGCCTTCATCCATTCATACTGTTACTTTGACATGTTTAGGTGAGGCAGTGTGACTTACCAGAGAAGTTCAATCACAAGTTACTGCATGTGGAGGTTTTGGTTTGGGAACTGCCCAACTGAAGTAATAAAGTTCATGTTAGCAAGGAACTGTGTTTTCTGGAGTCTTAGAGAATAAATCCTGACAGTACGATTTTTTTCCATGCATGCTAAGTAATAATATCTTATGATGATAAATCAGAACTGTTTTCCACTGAGGGAGAGGCCTGGCTTTGTATTTGCTATTCAGATAGCATGCAGTGCCAAGAGTACGGACAGCGGAAAGGACAAGTTCAGTGTGAGGATTAGTTTTTCCAGGTCCCAATGAGACTTGGATTGCGATTGGTTTTTGACCTTCTGTGTGTGAGTTAGAAGGGTGACTTGTCTCGGGAGGACTTCTAAAGGAAACTAACAAATGTCTAAATTATTCTCAGTTCTGCATTCGGTTCATCGTGTTCACCTCACGCGCCTCCCCATGTTGAACCAGTGCGTTCTGTTGGCACAACGGGAATCAGAACCTTTGACCTTGCTGAAATGGCTATTGTAGGGGGATTGGGAAGGTTAATTACTTCCTTAGGATGACCTTGTGTATGAAGGGTGCTTTTGTTTCTGTGATCTGCCATAATTATGTATAATTTCACATGAGCATTTATTCTGTAGATATTTTACAATGTAAGCTCATTTCTCATCCTTTTGTTGTCATATACCAATCAATGTCTAAAAGTCTAATAATCAAGCTGTATCATTAATAATGTACATGTGGAATTCTCTCAATACATAGGTTGTAAGAGACAAATGTAGAGATAGGAGGAAGAATCAATATCAGATAGGTTACCATTGATATGAATCCTTTGTACTGTTATATTGCCCCAGGGAACCCATTTCCCTGATAATACCAAATAAAATTTTATGGCACATATGAAAATACAGCAAATCTGATCATAATCATTAGGGAGCTTGTATATATAAGGTGATTTAGACTGTGTTCTTTAGGTTGTTTTTTTGGAAACATTGATGCCTTCGCCTCATGGCGTTCACCCTCCAGTAGCCGTCAAGGTTGGGACCTGGTGGGTGCTGATGGGGAGTCCTGGGAACCTGACGGCTTGGCTGTGAGGCCCAGCTGTTTGATGCAGGCAGAGGGTGACTTTTAGGAGTTGGGAATCTAGGAAGGGAGGCCTGGCAGTTACTGGGGGTATTTCTCAATGGCTTTGGCTACTACCTTTCACTGAGCCTGGACTGTAGAAGCCTAGCTTCACAGTGTGTTCACCTGTGAAAAGTAGTCCTACTGTTTCCTTCAGAACATTCTAAGGAGCGCTCTTAGTCCAAGCGGATGACATGGGATGTTACCCTAAACATAAAGCTGCTATTTGTACCCAAGGTAAGATAACAGTGGAAAGAGCACAGGGACTGACCAGGGAGGCCTGTTACTTATTAACAGAACTTAAAGCAAATCCCCTGACCTCTTAGAACCAGCCTTTCCTCATCTCTAAAATTGAACTTTCAGTACCTGGCTTCCCTTCTAGGTAGAGGAGCAAATGAGATCACATTATAGATACAACGACAATTCACATTTACAGAGCAGTGAGTGGCTCAGGATGTGCTGTTACCACTGCCTCCCAGTTTACTGCTTACAGTTAATATTTTCCTATTTCTAGTGACTTCTGAGTGCTTTCTAGGATGATAGGGCCAGAGCATCTTCCAGGAAGCAGTCTCAAAGATCGTTGAGTCCAGCAATGCCCTTTGCTGATGAAACAGGCCAGGAGAGAGCATGCAGTGTCTTGCCCAGAGTCATGCAGTGCATTAGTCGTAGAGTCTTAGTCCTACTTAACTGAAGTACTAGTAGGAAAGTAAAAAAGCTTTTCCTAAAAAGCAAGTCTATTTAATAATGATGCCTTTTTACAGAAAATCTGTTGTTTTCTTTGACAAGAGAGCTATTGTACAAGCTTTTCTGTGTTTTTTGGATGGGGGAGGATGAGGAGGAGGAGTTGTCTGCTTAAAGTATGTGTGTGACTTGCATGTTTCTTAGAGCAGCAATGACAATACAGCCGAAAGTCTTTGCTCTATTGTGATTGGAGGAGCTGGGAGTTAATTCACCTTGGAGGTGCCTTGCTGTAGACTTTTTAAATGGCTGATGTATTTCTTCTTAAAACAAAAGCAAATAAATAGCGATCACATTAGAGTCTCACTGATTGATGAGCATAGACAAGGAACCGAAGTTATTCTAAAGGAAAAGGTAATGGAATGTGATCATACTTTTTAAAAACAGGGCCCCTGGGCTTGGGCATGCTGGTTCTAAGTTTAGGGCCCAAGAATAGCAAGAAGCAGCTGACCGCATGACGTCCACACCTGGGCACAAGTGCCCTGGACTCAGTTTTGCAAAATAAAAGCAGATGACCCTGGAAAGCTTCATTTTGCAAGAGCCTTTACTAGGATTTTTTTTTTTAATCTAACAAATTCAACAGCACGATTATCTTTTTGGACAACAAATGTAAAATCTGTCACCTTCATAATGCAATATGTGAAGTTTCCCACAGTCATAAATCGCATATGTGAGCCATTTATGTGAAGCCAGCTTGGTCAAGGGCCAACATTTCTCATGCAGTCTCTTTATTTTTCACACTAAATAACAGTAAAGCCTCCAGGTGTTTTGTGGGAAGACGGAGCTGGAGATAATATTTATAAGCTGTCTAGCAATATTTGCATCTCTAAGTGCAGCTGAGAATACACTGGGCCTGCTATTTTATCTCCCAGATTGTTTGTGGCTCTCTGAAAAGCACCCGGAACTCCTGTTTTTCTGTGGTAACCAGCTGTGAGCTGCCTGATAAGGGGCGCAGGACAGCTGTGGGGGCTGAGCTGGTGAAGGCCCTCTGGAATGACCCTGGCTCTGCTTTGCTCTGCCTCTCTGCAGTGCGTGCCTCCTGATGAAGCCTGCACCTCGCTGGACGCCTCGACAATCTGGGCCATGATGCAGAATAAGAAGACATTCACTAAGCCCCTTGCTGTCATCCATCACGAAGTGGAATCTAAAGGTGTGTTTTGGGAGGCTCAATCAGAAAATAGGGGTCTCGGGACTACTTGTTAAGAAGTTCTAGTGCTGTAAACCAAAGTCCAGTGTTGCTCAAAAAGATGTATCAATGGCCAATTAGTAATTTTAGAGGATTCTTTGCCTGAGGAGTTTATTTAGTTCATTGTCCTACTGACCTGTGGCTCAGTGGCCAGTGATACATTTGCAAATGATTTCCTTTTAAATGTTAAATCAGAGTCAGGTATGTTCCTGTCACAGTGTTCCTCTCTCTTGCATTCAAATGTGCTTCCTCCAGTGTGTACAGAAGGGTTAGAGTTCCTTCTGGCTGGGGTCGCTCAGTCTACAGCCCATCTTTCCCTGGTGCCCTGGTGACAGGCTATCGTAGGCTTTGTCAAGATATCCCTTTGGGGAGGGTGTTATGTATGTGAATACCATCCATCTCAGGTGACACAGCAGAAAGAAGGTTAAGAACTAGTATTTAAATGTTTTTATAATTATGTTTTTAGAATTTTATGCAGTCACATTTGTTGCTTGAAGCCAGGGGTGCCCCTTTCTTTTTCTTTTCTTTTTTTTTTTTTGCAAAGATTTTTTTTTTTTAGAGAGGGGAAGAGAGGGAGAAAGAGAGGGAGAGAAGTATCTGTCGATTGCCTCTCTCACGTGCCCTGACCAGGGACCCACAGCCCAGGCATGTGCCCTGACCAGGAATCAGATCAGCAACCTTTTGTTTTGTGGGACGACACCCATCCAACTGAGACACACCAGTCAGGGCCAAGGGTGCCTCTTTCTGCACGTGCAGCAGAAAGGAAGGGTGTGCTCTAGGAGGTATGGTACAGTACCTGGGAGGACAGGCCGGGCAGAGGCCAGGCCAGCCAAGCAGGCAGAGGAGCAGAGTTGGCCTCCGTGGGATGTGAGAAGGGAGTGAGGCCCTGTGGGCCTGCCTGACGGGGCAGCATCACAGCTCCAACCAAGGGCACGAGAATAGCAAGAACACACCAGGTAGCTGTCAATATCTGACGCAGTGGAACCAAATGTCACATGGGCAGTTACAGTTGTCACTGTATGAATAAAACCTGTGGCTGTCCTGAAACATGGTCTAAAGATGCCAAACTAAAGAAGGGTAGGAGAATGAAAGTGGATTTCAAGCTTCTTGGGTTAAATATTTCAGGGCTGGAGCCCAGGCTGCCTTCTACCACCCGAGAGGCAGAGAGGAGCCTGTCACCGGCCTTCAGGGCCGTGACAAAAGCCAGAGAGTGGCCTGGCTGTAGTTGCGGGGCATTGGCTGCAAGACCTGCTGGTTGGTGTTGACACAAGATCTAGGCTTGGGGCAGCTCTGGGATGGCATTTCTGATCCGAGCACTGCTGGATCTGGCGACCCGAGGCCACAGGGGTGGCCCTGGAACAAACAGGACCTAGCACAGCAGAGGCCTGTGGATGCTATCCAGTTGAGTGACCTTTAAGAAATACCAATGCCATTCCTATTGTCATATCTGGTGATGACATCTGCCCCCTTCCCAGGAACATGCTCACTTCGGAAACACAGCACTGGCTGAGAGCCAGGAGCTTGGGGGTAGTAGCTCTAAGCTTTCCCTGGTAACTGGCTGTGGGACTTTGGACTTTGGAGATCTCCCCTCGTGGCCTCAGATTTCATTTTCTTTATCTGGAAAAGGAGGCACTCAGACCAGATGACTTCCAGAGTCCTTTCAGCTGTAACACTGAGCTTTACTGTTTGAAGAAGCAAAGTAGTCTTTTATTCACTTCCCAGCCGTCCAAAAGTTGGTGTGAAATGTACATATTAGATATTTATTGTTTCCTCAGCAATGTTGTTTGTTTTGCTTTTTTTAGTTGGCTATGTACCATTTGAAACAACTATAACAACCATAGTCTTTCAATAAATGGATCGTCTAAATAGTTCCTTGTTTATTGGGTCCAGGGGAAAGAAATAAGAAGGAATTAATTGTGTTGTGAAGTATATCACAATTGGGCAATAGCTGGCTCTGTTTGGTAATGAGAAAGTGGTTTAACAATAGCAACAGCTACCTCATGCGCCATCTGTTACTCTTACCTATTGAGAGAGGTTATTCTGCTGGTAATTGAAGGCAGCAGCTTGCTTTTTCCTATGCCAGACAATAATTAGGCATTAATATTGCAGCAGTATAACTTCCAGTAATTCATTCGTTCTTCTTTTAAGTCTGGTGCTATTTTTCTAAGTAATTCCTCTTGTAAATTAGGCAATTGCTTTCATTTAAACTTAGTCTAATTATCCTGGAAGTTGAGTGTTTTCTTTACATAAAAGTTCAAGAGGAAAGTTTCACCAAATACCGAAGCACTTTCATGAGATTTGCTGATTGAGACTAGATTTTGGTGGGGAAAGCAGGTAGTGAAGAAAGTTTATTGCTTAGACTTGTTAAATATATTGAGGAGGTTAGACTATAGGCCACGTTCCAGGGGCTGTGTGTACAGATGCTTTCTGCCTTTGCATTGAATGGGAGGTTTTCTGACAGTTTTCAGCTTTATGTGTGACTCCTCTTACTTTTACATCTGTTTTCCTTTGGCTCTAGATGATTTCTCCTCAACATGGGCTGCTGGAGTCTGTGCTTTTCCTCTGCCTGTCAGTGAATGGGAATAGTCGAGTGAAAAGGGAATGTGATAGTTGCCTAATAGCATTTGTTTATTTGAATGAGAGGATGATGAATTTTCTTCCTGCCAGACAGCTCTGTGTGTTCCTGCAGTAACACACAGGTACTACAGTATTTCTGGAAGCAGGCAGGCCTCTTATTGAGATTGACACTTGGGGTAAAAATTTTCCAACCAACTAGACTTTTGACCGTCCTTTTATTACTACACAGGTGCTCTTTGAAGGCCATCCACAGTTCCAGCTCTCCCTGGACATTTGGTTCATCATATTTCTCAGTACTTGAGTTTTCTGGGGCAGCAGATAAAGGCTCTCATTGTCGCCCTCACAGCCAAGCAGAGATCAGGGGCTACCACTGCCAGGAGCCCAGACACATTTCAGGCAGGGTTTCTTCCTTCTGTGGACAGGCAGATCAGGCCAGCAGGACTCAATAAGTAATTCTGGGTCCCTTCTCTGGGCCAGTGTTTTTAATGGAAACTTCCCAAGCTCCTGCAGCACACCTTTGCGGCCTTTGATTTCTCAGTTTCTTGGGAACCATCTTTGGGTGAGCATTCTTTGGCTGTTTAAACTTTCAGCAAGAGATGATGGTGATGGAGATGATGACTAACATTTATTGACTATTTACTTAATACAAGGTCCTGTGCTAACTGCTTTACGTGGGTTATACTTAATCATCTTAGCCTCTTTGTGAAGTAGGTATGGAGTGAGGAGGCTAAGTACCTTGGCCAAGGTCGTACCACACACACATAGCGTGTCTGGGATTCGGCTCCAGGCACTGCGGTGCTGCAGCCCGTGCCTATCCTAGGGGAAGGCTGACTCCAGTTTGTCATAAAAACAACAAGTGAACTGAAAATAAGAAGAAGAATTTTAGGGGGAATAAAAAGATTGTTTCCCCAAAGGGTTAAGATATTGAGAAACATGTAAACTATTTAAGAGAGCAAAGTTTAGGAGAAGTTCTGTGACTTTGAATTGTAACTCACAGAAAAAGCCCAGAAAACATGAATAGTTTGTGCATATTATGGTTTATGGCAAAACAATTAAAATAGTTGAGGTGATGCCATCCTGCCATATTTTCTGAAATATTTGGAAGTACAGGCGTGTGAGTGCTGTTTGCTTTGGATGCTCAGACCACTTTTTACAGCATTGAGAGCACTTGGACTTCCACAGTAAAAATTGTTTTACAATTTTAAACGATGAAAAGGAAGAGTAATCATTTTTCTGAAATTTTGGGCATATACACACAAAAAATGGGGCACTAAAGAATAACGAATAGCATCCCAAATTTGCCATGATTTATATACAATGTGTAATTCTCAGCAAGTTAAAATGAGTAGGTTAAATGTTTAAGATATTGAATTTTTTCCATATTTCTACCACATAAATTTTACAAAATAAAAGTGTGCTCAGGACAGCACCCGGCATATCATGGGCACTCCATAAATGTTCCTTTCCTTTCCTTCCCCTTAACCTGTCAGCCAAACTTAGGTTTTGGAGGGAGGTGGAGGGGATGGAAGGAAAAGTTGTAAACGTCAGTTGGAAGTTAACCCAAGAGAGGCGTTACTTTTTGGAACATGTTTGATTTTTCCAGAACAAAATACTCTAAAGAGCAGCCAGGCTTTGTCCTCAGGCTGAGGCAGAGATGAGGGAAGCCGAGTAGAAAGAAACATCGAAATGCTTCATTGACAGACCAAAACATTCGGTTTTTCTGCGTAAGGGAGAAGAGGTCATAGGAATTTTTTTTCTTTTTATTCAGTGTGCTTCACATTTTGAAAACTTTTTACTCTGGAAAATTTTAAATGCATACAGAAATAGAATAGTAGCATGAACTCCCATGAACCCTCCATCTGGTTTCAACAACTACCAGTTTGTAGCCAGTCTAGTTTTATCACTTCCTGTCCCTGAGTCGTTTTGAAGGATACCCAAACATTTCATTTCATCCCAAAATATTCCAGTATACACCTCAAAAAGTTAAGAACCCAAAAAACTCAAGTAGAAAGCCAGTGATCGGATCACAATAACAAGATATACATGATATTTATGGTTATTTATTCCTAAAAATGTTTATTGAGTACCTACTAAATGTCTTCAAGGCCTTTGCAATGCAGTGCGGAGTGTTACCATTACCATTACCATTTTGGTTTGATAACATCCAAATGGCATTGGCTGCAGGGAGTCACCCCATGCATTGGAGCGTGTTGAACAGTGTCCCAGCCTCCGCCCACTAGCTGCCCATAGCACACCCATCCACTGTCAGCTGTGCCAGCCCAGAATGTTGTCTCCAGACATAGTCATATGTGCCCTGGAGGGCAGGGGGCAAAAATCACCCTGAGGTGAGAACTATTGATCCTCGTGGAAGGATACAGATAAGTGATCAGGAAATTGCAGCAAATGCTGTTAATATTAAAACAACCCAGAGAAGGGGTTCATTTACAGTGAAGTAAAGTTAGTAAAAACTGTATCTTGAATATGACCTGCATAAAGGCCTCCAGAATCTCCAGCTTCTTTATCTCCCCATCCTTCTCTCTTTGCCAAAAGCCAATAGAGGTGGGTATCACTACCTTGTTTCCCTTTGGGCCTGCTTGGTTCTACTGTACTTAGGAAAACTGAGTTGAAAATTGGAAGCCAAAAGCTGAGGTCAGTTAGAAATGTCCTGTTTGTGAAAGCCATGCCTGATGTTCCGAGGAGGAAAATTTTGGTTCTAGAGGTAGACCAAAATTTGCTCAGAGTATATTAAAAGATTTAATTCAGAATGTTGATTATAGTCTGTCCTTTCTGTAAAGAACTCTTTATTGTTAAAATCCTTTTTACAGTAATAGCTAGGAGTTCTTTGTGACCATCTTACCCTTCAACCAAAAGTAAATATTGTTGTGTCCACTCTTTTCCTTTCAGCATGCCGACTCGATTACAGGGTTCCGGGGGGATCAGACTCTCTCGGTTTTACTCTGGACTTATTGGGGATTTGGGAACAAAAAAGTTACAGGATAAAATCCTTTAACCTCAATTCTTCAGCTTGTGCTTATTATTGTTTATGCACAGAAATCATGGAGGAACTCTCCCCTGGGACGCAAGCAACACTTTTTCTGCATAGTTCTGTGAGAAGGCCCTTACTTGGGATGGGGAAGAGGATTAGATCATAACAAAAGTCCATTAAGAAATTTAAAACAATGCCATCCATCACACAGTCCTTGCTATAAAACCTAAATTCTTGCATGTGAGGTCTCCTTGGGGGAGAATCATTATTTAAAACCTCTTGGGGGTTCTGAGTGACAAAATCGAACCATGGGTAGTTAATTAAATGGCACTGTTCCCAGCAGTGTGTCTGTCTCTCACACGATGCGCACCACGGGGACCTTTAAATGCCTTTGGACTCAGTTCAGCACATCAAACCACTACTTTTTGAATGTGGGAGAACATTGTGGTTAGCTACCCCATTTCATAGGGTTCTTGGGAGTTTAAAATGAAGAAATAGAAGTGAAATATTTTTTTGTCCATTGTAAAACACTATACAAACACACAAATGTAAAGTGCCATCATTGTTTTATTGCTGCTTCGGTATAACTTTTGCAGATATCCTTGTCTGGTGCCGCCATATTGCACAGCCCCCAGTGGCCCTGGCATCGGTCCCTCTGTGTGCATTCCTTCCCCTTGAGCTGGGCCACCATGCCCCGTGCTGCAAGGTGTGACCGACCCAGTGGAGATGGTTATTCCCGAGATTTTACAGTCCTACTAGCTTCTTTATTTTTATAACCATCAGCTCAAATGCTGTTTATTTTGGGTCAGTTTTCACAAGTTGTTTTCCCTTCACTGTGGATTGCAACACAAAGTGTGTATTCCTTTTCTACTGAATGAAAATGGGGATGAAAAGAGAGATAGTTAGCTCCTTGAAAAATTCTAAAGAGAAAGGGCAGAGCCCGTGCCAGGATGCTGTACCTTCTCCTATAAAGAAGCAGATAGAGACTATTTTCAGTGAGTGGCTCCTGCACCCCCTGCCTCCACGGCTCAGTGCTGCTGTTCCCTCATGAAAACAGCCACAGACAATGCGTAAATGAATGAGCACTATTATGTTCAATTAAAACTTTGTTTAGGGAATAAATTTGAATTTCCTGTAATTTTATGTCATAAAATATTATTCTCTTTACTTTTTTCACCCATTAAAAAATATGAGATGTATTCTTAGTTTATGGGTCATGTAAAAACAAGTGGCAGGCCATGATACGCAAACCTCACCCCCCCGTGCCGGTCTGTGCTGCCCTCCTGCTGAGGGGAGTGGGTAGCTGTGCTGAAGGAGCTTCTCAATCACTGCTTCCCCAGCTGAGGACAGAGCAACACTCACCATTCATTTAGTCTGCAAGGCAGAATCTGGAATTCTGGTTCAACCCCTGCCCTGATGCTTTCCAGCTGTGACCTTGGGCTAGTCACATGATATCAGAGTCTCAGGCTGCTCATTTGTAAAATAGTGGTTTTTTTTTTCTGTCTCCCTTCCAGGGCTGGTGTACATCTCAAATGAGATCGTGGCTATGTAGTGCTTTCTAAACATGAAAGCATTATAGAAATGTTGAGGCACACAAGCGTTTTCATACAGCCTATTCCATGTTTCCTCTGATGCTTCCACTTTCATAAAGTACATCAACATTCTAATCATCCATCACCAAACATTTCTGGCAGGCTTGTTCTGTGCCAGGCTGAGTAAAAGCCAGACTCTGCTCTCGGGGGCAGGGGGAGCAGAGAATGACGTGGTGATGTGGCACATGTGTAACAGAAGAGGGGTGGAATGAGCCGGAGTGGGAAAGACCAGCCCTGCTGGGGTGGACATGGGGCAGTGGGAGAGTCAGAGAAGAGCTCCCAGTGAAAACGCCAGCAAAGCATGCCTGGGAAGGAGGGCGTTTCAGGGATGGCATACAATGATAACATCGAGCAGCATGGAGAATTTGGGGAGCTTAAATAACTCTGAGGGTTTCAGCATAGGTGAAGGACCCCATTAAGAGAGGAGGCTGGAGAGAGGTGAGGAGAGGAGGAAGTCAGAACTTTGTGTGCTGTGCTAAAGAGTTTGAATATGTTTCCTATAAGTGAGGGGAGCCATTGAACAGCTTAATCAGAGCAATGACATAGCCAGCTCCGGACTCTGGGAAATTCACTCTGGGAGGGGGCACAGATGGAGTAGGAAGTATTTGGAGTGGGGGCCGTGGTGGAGACAAGGAGAGCAGTTAGGTAAGCTCTGTAATAAAGCAGATGTGTGAGGAAGAGGAGCTCGACTACAGGACAGCAGCGTTACGGGTTCCCAAGGTACTTTTATGGAACTGGTCTACATTAAATGAGGAATAATACAAATACGCTGGAGAAACGTGGTATTTAAAGGAATTGAATCCTTTTCTAAGTAACTTTAAAGGTGTACACAGACACAAACTGTCAGGTTTGAATTTCTTAAGTTTAGGTGTTTGCCTTCAAGTTTTTTTTCAAAGTGGGGAGCCTGCATGACTGATAATCAGAGTGCAATGCCTCGAGTTTCGGAGTGGTTCCCGTTATAGTTCTGATATCTGAAGATGGCAATTGACAGGGCTTTCATGAACAAAGTGACGGTCACTGCCGAGATTTTGATGACCTTTTGCTTAAAACTTGATTTCTCTGTGTAATGCATTGTAATTTATGTTTTTGTTTCGGGAACAGGTCCAAGCATTAAGGAACCGAATCCAATTTCTCCACGTAAGTCTTTATGCAACTATTTCAAAATAAAGCCTCCTGGGCTTTTATAAGAATGAGTTGGTTATGGAGCACTTGCCAAACTCTGGGTTTTGATAAGAAGACTTATGCTCTTACTCTCCTTCCCTCCTTTTTTCTCATACTTTCTGTTTTCTTTTCCTCTGTCCTTCATTCTCCTTTTTCCAGCGGTACCTTTGCCACTTTTAAACATGAACTTGTTGACCCATTGGTGTGTATGACCTTCATGGAAAGGTAGTCACTTTCTTCATTTTAGAGAGAGAAGTTTATTACTTATTTGTATCCGTTGTGATCTGAAAGCATTAACGTACAGCTGTGGGAGTGGTTTCCTTTGCCTGCCATCAGCAGGGTTTACTTGCTCAGAGAATGCAGCGAGGAGAACTAGTTGTGCCTTCAAGACAATCTCTAGTCCAAAGTGCATTGGGAGAGACAGCTTGTAAGAAGAGAGAGAGATACCAACTACTACAAAATGATGCATTGGAAATTATCTGGGCCAATTTCATCACTTTATATAGAAGAAAACTCTGATCCAGAAACATTTAAGTAACTTGCCACTGGTCATAGTTAATGTGAAGGGAGAACTAGAACCTGGGCATCCTGGCCGTACACCCAGAGCTCTGCTAGATGATGCAGTGTACGAGGAGAATCTGGGCTTTTTTTCCTTCCCCAAAACTCTCCAGATTAGTCTCCATGGCTGACTCCATCACATACACACAAGTCAGTCTGGAGAATTCCTTTATGCAAAGACCGAACAAACCATCCTATTAAATAAGTGTCCTGCTTTCACACCACCATGGAACAGTATCACGAACCCCGAAGGAGACACGTGTGGACACATTCTCTCACACTCACCTAGTCTGCTTTTCATGAATGACATCTCCATCTTTAGAATTTTAGAATGTTTTCACTAAAAACTTTTAATCATGTGCCACTTTTGGATCTGTGAGTATAAAAAGGCAAGTCATCTTTTAACATCTGTCCTGTGGACTAGAATACATTAAATTAGGTAGATGGCTTGGTTCACCTTGACCTCCAGAGAGTTCTTCCCTTTTCTTACTCCTTCCAGGCGGGGGTCCCCAGCCCTTTCACAAACTCCTTTTGTTCGCCCCCTGCCTTCAGCAGGTGAAGTAGTGCTATCCTCATTTTTCAGAAGTTAAATGAACACCAAAGGGCCAGAAAAGTAGGGACCAGAACTGGGGATTTGGATCCTTCCAGAATCTTCACTGTGACATACTTTTCCTGCACCCTTTCAAGTGCTGGGGCTGCTCCAGGGTCCCATTTGTCTACCACTGGATCTTCTACACTGAAGGGAGTTGGAAGGCAGAGAGATTTCATTTACATAGAGGTCAGTTGGAGTTGCGTCTGATTGGAGAGGAACAGAGAGACAAGATAGAAATAATGGGGAGAGCCTGTAGCTTAAAGTTACATTATAGACACAGAGACCTTCGAAATCTTTATTCTACTGAAAACTCCTCTCCCCTAGAAACTGATTTTAACTTTATAAGTGACTCAAAGAATATAATTCTCATAAATGAAAGGAAACGTTCTATTTCTGTGGCCTGGAATTAATTTCAAATATGAAAATCTTTTCAACCAGAGAAACAATTGGTTCTATTTATATGTTTTGCTGACCTTGAAATTGACATCAGTCCCCACTGAGAAGTGTTTCTGTTCTCCTCATAGAAAGATCACAGTCAGAGAAGTGTTAAAAAGTAGACTATTTAAGTGCCACAATATGTAGTTGTTAAGACTGACGGTTTAATATGAGGCCAGTGAAATGTTATAATCTACAGGAATTACTTATCCTTATTTTGTTTTCTCCTTCTTACCCCTTTCTTCCTGTTATCTTTCCTACTTTTAAATGCGCATGAAGCCATGTTTGTAAAGTGTCTGTGCAGTGTCTTATTGTTGGGAGTGTTCAATGAATAAGAAAGAATGAGTCCGATTTTGATAGTTTGTTGCTCAAAATATTTGCAAAAGGAGGATATCTTGGAAATCTGATAACTTAATTTTTCTCTTGAGAAAAAATTTGCATGTTATAAATGCAGCATATTTTGGTGGAATCCTCATTTTATCCTCAGATTTGATTAGTTGGTGCTCAGCCTTTCTGAGAATGAAACAAGTACACAATTCCAATGTGTGATGCAGACCAACTTAAAAGTGTGTATTCGTTTTCCTTCCCTGTAGCAATTTTCCATGGTCTGGACACCATAACCGTGATGGGCATCGCGTTCGCAGCATTTGTGATTGGAGCACTCCTAACGGGGGCCTTGTGGTACATCTACTCTCACACAGGTGAGTGTGACTGTTGTGTAGCACTCAGTGTGCATCCTGTGTGCCCGCCACACAGCAGACACTCGGTGTCCCGCTGCACGATGAGGGGGTGAGATACTGAATGGGAGAGAACAGTCATTCCTGCTGTTTGCACACTCACATGTTTGGCATACATTGGGTTTTGCAAAAATATAATTTGCTTCAATCAGTTGTAGGAAAGGGATGTTTAAACTTGTTATGTTAATTGCAATTGAGATGTTGATGATGTTCAGCTTCTAATAAAGCTGTTTTGTGGTTGGGTTTAATTAAAGGAAGGTAGTGTAGATAAATTGGAAATATAAGCTATTCCCCCAATGCTAAAGACCTCAGAATAGAAATACAAATGGGCAGGAAGTGAAAAGGGAAGCCAAGACTTCAGTACGACAGCTGCCAAGGTGCTGTGCACTGTCCATCAGCGTCCCTAATCAATGGTTCAACCCCAAATTTCTCATCCTTTAAAAAATTCGTACCACGTCCTCTTTGTTAAACATAAAATTCTCATGTCTTTCTATAAAGTTATTTAAACTTCCAAAATATATTTTCATGAATTGTAAACAAATAAAAATGGCAAAATAAAGTGCTTCGTTTTCAACTTATGTTCCTTCACCCCCCAAAATTCTAATGTGCTCTTCCTCCTGCCCCTTCCAGCCAGTCCCAAGGTTGGACCATTCTGGCCTGAACAGAAAACCGGCAATAGAATGCCCGCCCAGCAAGGGGAGTCTGTAGTGTAGTGAGGAAGGAACCGATGGGCTGCCCTTCTATTGCTTCTTTCTTAGGTGCTTTGCAAAGTGGGGAGGGAAAGGCATACCCTTTGAGGCATATCTAGCCAGCTGGTTGGTATTGTTTATTTTTAAATATTGTAGTTTATACAGCAGGTCCTCAAAAAATGTTGTTTCATTCAGCTTGTTTCTTTATAACATTGATGAGATGCCCTAAGAATGCCTAGGAACTTAACTCTTCTTTATATCAACTAGCCTATGGTAAAACTGGTTTTATATGTTGTTTCGCTGTAAGTCATGGAACCTATAAATGATGTTAAGCGAGGACTCACTGTATTTTGAATGTAGGTAACCTGTGCTGGATTGATCAGTTAGAGGCCAGTGGCAGGCCCAGCCTTTTTGTGTAGAATTTCATTAATTCTCCATTGAACCAGCTAATGCCATGATGTTTGGCTTTACCCTGGGTCTGTCCAGCTAGCAAAGCTGAAAGTATGACTGCTTTAAAGAGAAGAGAGGTACTGAAGGGCATTTGGACAAGTCATACCTTAATCTCATCAGAATCTTCACTTCAAATACATCATCCTCCAATCGAGTTATTTTAGGTTATGGCCAGAGGGAATGAACCCTTCAGTGCATAGCACGGGAAAGTCACACAATCCAAAGCAAAAGTTTAGGAGAGTTTAATAGTGGAGCTTTCAGTCCTCACTATTAGTTCTTAATCAGCAATCTTTGAGTAGAGTATGTTTCATGTGAGACAGAGAAAGTCAGACTCTTAATTAAGTGTAATAATTCTGAGGATACAAACACCTGTGAATCAGTTATGAATGTTATTTCTCATGAACAGTTTATACAAACACCAGAGGGACTTTTTTTTCGCAGAGTAGCATTTTAGAGTAAATAATTTTGTCACGGTTTAAGATACTGACATGATGAGATCTCAAACTAACCATTCTTTGCAGCTTTGTCTAACCTCCTGCATGGCTGTGGAGTTCTAGGGCTATTGGCAGCTTACACTGAATTTTGGGAATGAACTTGAAAGTACTCCAAGAAGACTCTATAGCCCTGAGGATTTTCTATGGGCTAGTCACCCAAAGACACTCAGCATCTCCATGCCGAGTCATGACTGGCTTTGGCCATGAAGCTACAGCCACAAAACCCTGAAAGCTAATCTCAGGCCAGGTAGGGAGGGCCAGGAAGCCAGGTCCAGGCAGAACAGGGCAACCAAATGACACTCACTATTGGAAACACCCCATCGAACTCCCTCTGATAATCCCAGTCTCTTGTCCACTGCCAAGCTCATAAACCTGATAAAAAACCAAGCCTTCTGAGATTTGTATTTACTGTTCTCTTCTCCCCCAAGCCAGAGACTTAAGGAAGAGTTTTAAAGTTTTGTTACTATAGAAATAGGTTTGTAAGTAGATTAAAGAAAACCTCAATCAAAAATCTTTCCTGTGGTGGTTTCCAGCAAAATAAATTATGCTGATTTAGAAGTTAAAAGGTTTATAGACACTGTCATTTGGGTTCAAAACCTGTTAGCGTCATATATGATGCAGCTTCAAAATGACTTTTTATTAAAAACGGTAACGTCTGGTTCATTTGAAACATTGCTCATAAGGAATGCACGTGTCATACAAGCGTGAAAAGGGCTCACTTCAGGACCCAATGGTGGTTTCCTGTCCAGAACCACCCCCACCTGCTAGCTCACCCAGTTTCATAGCTGGGTGAGCTAGCAGCTAGTGTAGATAAAAAGAGGAGATTATAATGCAGGGCCAGTGGGGAGAGGTGTGTGTATAACACTGACTCAGTGCATTCAAGTTCCACAAGGATCTCAGCTGTGGAACTCCGATCTTTTATAGTGCATCGGGGGTTCACACAGTATCCGTCTCTTGGTCAAAAACAGCCCTTCATTTGGATGCCTTCCCTTCAGTTATGCTTTCCAGTCCATCTGCAGCACGGAGTGCAAAACCAAGTCATTTGTTCAAATTGTGGATGTCTATGGATACTTGTGTACCTGGGATGTTTGTTAGTCTAAAGAAGCTGGGCCCCCACTTTATTATGTGACAGCTTTGGGCACAGTATGGAGTGTTCCTTAAGGCTGTATTAACTGTTTGGAAAATTCCATTCCTAAAACTTACATTCTCCACTAAGATGGTGTTGAGAGGAGAGGCAGTTGGGGTGGGAGTGAAATCTTCAAATCTGCATGCTCTTCAGGGCCTAGCTAGGTCAGGCGGCCCTAACATCTAATCCACGGAGGCCCCCAAAGTCATATGCAATTTTTGTCTTATGATATTTTTTAGGAGAGGGGCAAAAGCATTATATTGTAGTAAGACTCTTAGCCTTATCACAGTAGTACACATACACAGTTGAAAGGCTGAAGTACTTCTACAAGACTCGTTAGGAAAAACATGAGTCCCCTGCCACCCCTCTCACTCCCTTCTTGCTCAGCAGAGCACCCTTTTTACTCTTAGCTGATTCTTTTGGACATTAATCCATCTCTCTAAATAACATGAATCTATAGCTACTTCTTGACTTACCAGCTTTAGGCCTTTTTTGTTGACCCCTTACTATGGAAAATGAGATCATAGGTCTTGCTCACTCCTATACCCCAATTATACACGCATGCCCTTCTTGTGCCCTTACTGCCTCCGCCCTCTTAATCAAATTATTCTGAAGTTTGGGTTATATCAGTATTTACAGTTTACATTATTATGACTACCTAACTTCTAATCACATTCCAGTCATGTAGTAGAATACTGTTTTTCCTGTGTGACTTTTAAGTTTCTATAGAATCAATCATTGTCTCTCCCTCCACACCTACATTATCTTAGCTTTTTATTTACTTATCACTGCTTTATCTGTTGACTGTCTGCCAGTAGTTTCAGTCTCCTCTTAACACAATTAGGGATGCTACTGATTTGTTTTCTCCAGTCAGTCTTTCCTAGAGCCTTTGGACCACAGGCGGTCTGAGCTGGTCGCCCCTGAGTTTGGACACCGCTGACTCCCCATGTTCCTTCACCCCCCTCCTGAGGAGTCCCTGCACTTTGAGTTGCAGGTGGCCTATGGCCCATGTTCCATGTTTTCCTCTTTGGTTAGTGATAGGCGGAGTTTATGGAATTTTTTCTTGGGGGATATTTAAGCATTGGGTACATAAGAGAGAAATTTTTTTCACACACTGCGTGTCTGAAAACATCCTAATTTTATACAAACACTCAGGGGTTTAGCAAAGTATGGAATTCTAGATTATAAATTATTTTCATTCAGAATTTTGAAAGCACTCCTCATTGACTTTTAACTTTGAAGATTGCTTTTGGTAAATTCAAAGCCATTCAGATTCCTGACTTGTTGATTCTTTCTGGAGTAAAATTTACAGTGGTAGTTCTTGATTCAGGTGCTTTTTTATACATGATGCTGGGCATTCACACAGCCCTTTTAGTCTAGAAACATGTCCTTCAGCATTGATTTTTTTTAAGAGTTATTGATTTTTCCTTACCCCTGTTTTCTTTCTTCTCTTATTCTAGAAAACATATTATTTGAACCTCTTGAGTTATCCTCTAATTTTCCTTTTCTGTTTTTTATAATTTTTCGTTATTTTCTAGATTTCATCCTTCATTTTCTTGATGAGTTTTTAATACTGCCTTCAAATTTTTTAATTCTAAGAAATGTTTTCTGTGAATTAAAAAAATATATATTCTGGCCCTGGCGGGTGTAGCTCAGTGGATTGAGTGCCAGACTGTGAAGCAGAGGGTTGTTGGTTTGATTCCTAGTCAGGGCACATGCCTGGGTTGCGAGCCAGGTTCCCAGTAGGGGGCGAGCAAGAGGCAACCACACATTGTTTCTCTCTTTCTCCCTCCCTTCCCCTTTTTCTAAAAATAAATAAAATCTTAATATATATATATATATATATATTCTATTCCTGGGTACAATATCATATCTGTCTGAGAATATTAACACAGCATTATTTAAGAATGAGGAAGTTCTGAGCTTGTGGGTGGGACATACTGATTGTGACCTCATTAGGGTAATCTGGCTGGGCCGTTTACGGAACCCCTGATATCACATCTTTGGTAGATCTTTCTCTTGAGCTCATCGGGTTGTCCATAAAACAGGTTTTCCCGTTTCCTTCCTGGAGGGAACAGGTCTGGCTGCTAGTGTTCTGGGGGTCACAGCATTCAATGTATAGATGTTCTTTAATCCTTTTTCATTGTGGTTCTCCACCCTCAACTGTTGGTCATTCCCTGAACTCTGGGTTTCATCCTCTGCAGA